TAATTAGATTTAAAAATTTTTGTGTGTCTCTGTGTGTATGCCACATGTGTGTGAGTACCTGCAAAAGCTAGAAGAGGGTGTTGGATTCCTCGGACATAAAGTTACAGGCAACTGTGATCCACCTGACATTAGTACTGGGAACTGAACTTGGGTCCTCTAGAAAAGCAGTCCACGCTCTTAACTGCTAAGCCATCTCTCTAGCCTTCTGATAGAGATAATTTAAAGTCATATATTTATAACTCATCCCATGCTTACTAGATGGTAATATGTAATTAGGATATAATATTGCCACAATGTTATACAGCTGTCACCTAGAACATGACCTTTAGTTGGATTACTTTAAAGATGTCATAATTCAAGGTTGAATTGTTACTTAATTTTAGAAGGATAGTAGCACTCTCAGAAATCAGGAGCCTAATATTATTTATTTATTATTTTACTTTTATTTTCTTTGAGATAAGAGCCCATACATCCATGGCTAACCTCAAACTCACTGCAGAGTTTAGGATAACTCTGAACTTCCTGATCCTCTCCCTGAGTCCTGGGATTATAGGTGTATGCCACCGTGCCTAGTTTATTTGTTGCTAGGGATTGAACTCAGGCAAGCACAATACCAAATGAGCTGCATCCCAGCCCAGGGGCCTAATTTTAAATATCTAGTCTTTGACTACAAACATTTACCATATACAAAAAACAGGTTGGGCATGTGGCACATGCCTATAACCCCAGCACTCAGGAAGCTGAGGCAAAAGGATTGTAAGTTCCAGGGCAGCCTGGTCTATATCGTAAGGTCCTGTCTTGTTAAAAAAGAAAAGAAAGGAAAACCAATTACATAAAACAGATCAACATTTTGAAAATTCATTTTTTTCCATCTCTAAGAATAATGATTTGAGGATCAAATAAGGTAATATATATATACATACATATATATGTATATATAAAATGTTGTGTAATGTGCAACTAAAAGTTATTTCTGCTTTGAACTTGATTGTGAGAAACTGTATGCAGCTGTTATCACTAAGTGACGAAATCCTCAGAGTTGCTAATATAGTCTCTGAAAGCAGCATTTCTCCTTGATACTGAAGTTTATGTAGATTATTCTACATTTGAGGAAAATTTTTTCTGAAACTCTGCAGCCATTCGTAGGCTAATTCTTTCTAATTTTTTCCAAAGGTTTTCATTCTATAGCATATAAGTTCATTATTTTTGCTTGTCTCTCTGTCTTCAGAAGAATGAGTTACCAGCTGTCCCAGTTAGTATTTGTATCTGTTGGTTCATCCTTCCACCAGTTTTCAAAGTTGTTACAATGTGCTTGGTTTTATTCTGACCTGTCAAGTTCATTACATGTAATTTTGTAGTGATATAACAGAATTTGAAAAATTTGTGTAAGCCTCCATGACTTAGAGGGGTAGAATGACAGCTAGGGTAGTTGTAAAGGGGGAAGAAGGAGCCTCTTGTGCTATCCTGGTTGTTCTAGGCCAAAAAATGATCTAAGCTTCTTTTCTTCTATCTCAGTACTTCTTATGTCATTTATAGCTATAGTGATAGAACTTAAGTCTGAATCAGCTTGGAAATTTTTGAAGCAGTTGGAATAGGTGACTTTCTAATTGCAGCCTCATCACAGGCAATAGAACTCCACTGAAACTCTGCCTGTTGCTGTTCTCCATGGTGATGTGTCTGGAAGTAAGTTCTGAAGCCAATACCTACATTAGTGTGTCTGTGCAGAGGCAAATAGACAGACACAGTCAGCATGAAGAAAGAACAAGACATTTAAACCGTTTGGTCAAAGTCCATATTTTCCCTCAATCATGAAGACTGTTGATCTTTGTTTTCAGACTCAGGCATGCCAGAGTATTCATTCATCCAAAAGTCAGCCTGAGGCTGGAGGCATAGTGCAGTGATAGAACACTTACTTGCCTAGTGTGTTTTGAAACCAAAGTCAGCTCTACCTCAAAATGAAATTAAAAAAAAAAAAAATCCAGTTTATCACCATTACTTTAAATGATTTTTTGTCATAAAGATTTTTTGCCTGAATTGCCAGGATGTATCCTAAGTATTTTTATTTCCATGTTATCTACACATGGAGGGAAACTATGCCTGTGTAGAATTTAAGTGTTTTATGCAATTTAAATTTTATAATTAGGTCCATTTTTAATCTGCTAGTTGATATAATCCCTAAGGTTCTCTGAAAATTTCTAACATGTCTCATTTTAAAAATCCTGGTTTTCTTCATTTTTTTTCTTGACATCACTAGACTCACTTCCACAATTCCTCAATGTCTCTAGTAAGAATTACCAGTAATAGTTTGTAATATTAGAGATACTTCTGATGATGAAGTTACTGCATGTTCAAATGCTACTGCTGCACAGCTAATGCATTTTGAACCTGTGCCTGGTCCAAGAAAAGGTTTCCTGCCCAGGACACAGGGTCATATGATGAAATGAACTCTTGAAATATAATTCCTTCCTCTGAGGAACACACTGTATTTCATGAATTTGTAAAACATGCTTATGTGTGTTTTCTTCACTACTTTTGCCATGAATTACAAAGCATCTCTTCTATGGATAAATTTTCATAGTGCCTTGCAAATTGACATTTATAGAATTTTATTATTGAAAACTATAATGTTCTTTTTAAAGTTTTAGCATAAATATTATCAGTTCTAAAACCCTTTTACTTTTTAACACTTCAGTTTATTCACCTAGGATGATTTTTTTACTATTCACTAATATGTTTAAAGCATGAACACATTAATATCTTATAAATTGGCTTTGAAGTGGATAAAGCACAATCCCATGTAACCTTATAAAGTATTAGCATCATCTTCATCTTATCATCACCCTCCTCTTAAAGATGATAGTGTAATCATTTATACAGGACCATCTAGAAGCCACTGGCAAAGTTAGTCCTGGAACTCAGAGTTCCAGGACTGCCTTTGCTCAGTGACACCAATGTTAGGTCAGGTGTCTAGCTCTTTGGAGAATAGAAATAGAATTCAATTGACCTTGGCATTTTGGAGAACCAGTTGGTTAAATGTAGAATTGTTTTTAAAGGGACAATTGTATAATAATAAAATAAAACATAGGAAAGAAAATCTCTACCAATTTTTTTTCTTTTTTGTTTTGTATAAACAAAGCCAATAATGCATTGAGTACAGTAGAGTTGCAATATAGCAGGGAAGATTAAGATTAGTTATGAAGAAAATTTTAAAGATATTTTTCCATCAAACAGTGGAATGCATCTTGAGAAAAAAAGGACAGTAACTGAAGAGCACAAAGAAGCTCACAGGTTTATTGTAGGTAACAGCCTTTTTCATTTAAAAATTTTTGTTTTTGTTTTGTTTTTGAATATTTATCACACAAATAGTAGTTTGAGACAGTGTCCCTAGTAAAGATTTGGTAGACATCACAGAAAACTCAATAGACTGTACTAATGCTTGGAGCCAGAAAAGGCATATTTTTAATTTAATTTAATTTAATTTATTTTTTGTGGTGGTACCCACACATGGTACCCACATGTTCCACAGTCATAAACCTATAATAAATCTACTGAGGACAGATGACAGAACCATCAAATGTAGACCTAACTGGACCCAGATGAGTCCCAGCAGTGGAGCTAGATTTTTGTAGTTTCTAAATTGTGCTAAGTCCAAGGATGGCGAAGAGAGATTATTCCCAGTTTTGGATTTTGGAGCACCACTGTTCATCACAGAGCTACATTCTTCCCAGTCCCCTTCCTGTCCCTGACAATATCCCCACTCCCCACATTTTTTTTTCTGTTTTTTGTTATTGTTTTTTGGCAAGACTGGTTTCCTCTCATAATATGAGGTTAGTAAACAGGATGGGTTAGTTTAAAAAAAAAATACCTTCTTAAATCTGTCTTTCAATGGCTGATATCATGAGGAAATATTTTAGTGCTTAATGAAATCATCTTTATTTAATGCTGATTCTTTTTTGAATTACTAAAAAAATTATACTTATATTGAGTTTTAAAATTGGGTTTAAGAAAAATGCTCTTAAATGTTTGTGTATATAACTTGAACTACAAAAGTGTAGTTTCACACAAAATATGTAAGGGGAAGGGTTTGGTTACTAAAGGATTATTCATTTGTCCATAAACTTATAGAAATCTGTTAAGAACAGATTCTCTTAGCGCATTTAAAGTATTTGCTTTCTTTTCACAGTTATAAATTATATAATGCAAATGGCCACCGGCATCTGTTTGCATTTTAATTAAAATGCTCAAATATCAGTACAACATACAAATTATAGTCTACTCTGTTAACTCCAAAAAATACTATAAGAGAAATTTCAGAATTCATCACAAGGTGTAGGAGAGATGGCTCAGTGGTTAAGAGCACAGATTACTCTTCCAGAGGATGAAAGCTGTGTTCCTAGTACCCACATGGGGCGGCTCACAACCATCTGTAACAATAGCTCCAGGGAATTTGAAATCTCTGGCTTCTGCAAGCATGTGCATTCACATGTACACACACACACACTCGCATATATATATATACACATAATTAGAAATAAAATAAGAAATTATCAAGTAAAACTTTTCAAATTAAGTAAATATGTGATATTTTTTGTTTTTGCTTTTTTTCGAAACAAAGTCTCTCTGTAGTCCATGCTGGCCTGGAACTCACTGTGGTGCCTAGGGTGATCTAGAACTCAGAGCAACCCTCTTGCTTTGGATCCCCAAGTGCTGCGGTTACAGATATGACCCACCATGTTGGATTATTTTGGATATAATTTGATAATACATTGCCATATATAAATTGATTATTTTGCTGGGTTATAATGATGCATGCTTGTGTTCCAAACAGTTAGAAGATAAGAGTCAGGAGGATCATGAGTTAGAGACTAGACTGAGCTACATAGAAAAAACCTTGTTTCAAAGAAGAAAAAAGCAGGGGGGGTGTGGAGAACAAGGGAAGAGAGGAAGGAAAGGGTCATTTTATTAGAGTGTACTAGTTGTTTTTGTTTTTTCATCTCCAGGTTTTAATTACAACAAGGACAGCTGCTGATGATTTTAGCACCCAATATGTTTTAGATGGCAGTGGCCACATACTTTCTCAGAAACCTTCACATCTTGGTCAAGGTAGGACAATAGCTTTATAGCGTTTTTCTGTCTTGTTTATTTATTTTTAAAGCATTATTCCTTAAGTTTCAGTGTATTGTTTGGGTCTTAGTGCTAACAAAGTCCGGTTAACTTTCAAGTATATATTCACCCTTTGACCGTGAACCTCTAAAACACTGTCAAGAATCATTGTCAAGAAGAGTGAGGTGAGACTGGAGAATTCTGTACATTAGCTGTTCTAAAAAACTGAAAGTGACTTTTCTTAGTGTTTCAGTGTCTTCTTCACAGATGAATGTTATATATTACTGAAACACCTAAAACATCACTGGTTTGTAGTAAAAATAAATGCTAGCATTGAAATACTATGACTAACTCAAAATATATTTATATATGAAAAACTTCATATGTAGGCACAAAGTAGGTAAAATATTATACTCATTATTCACTTCCAACAGTTGTCAACTTATTATCCAAGTCTTTCTAATTCTTCATCTACTTACCTACTTTCTTTATTATTTTGAGATAAGTAACTGTATCAGCTATTATTCCTATTTATAATTTAATTTTTGTTTTATACACCTAATGTAACTTTATTACATTTTAATTGACACACTTTTAAATTCTTCTAAAAACCACTTCTAAGTGAGAAAACAGTTCTTTTTAGATCTGAGTTTCACAAGTCTCCCAATCTTCACACTCCTACTTTCCGGCAATGGGATGATAAAAGCTAAGAGAATATTCAGATAGCTCCTCTTTCAAAGGGATTCTTTGCTCTGTAAAGTACTGGGGGATTTTTGTTCCTGTTACCTTTCTCTTCCCATCTATATTGTTATTTTGCATTTATTCTGCTTCCTCATTTTAACTGATCACAGTACTACATTTTTTTCCTGTGGATTTATCCCATTTAAATTATGATTATGGTGGTTATTTTTTCAAATGACTTCTGACTTTATGAAATTTACTTTCTTAGTTCTGATAACAAATCCCTTCATTCTGTCATCTTATTTTGTAAATTTTCAGAATAGTTACTGATTACTTTTGCCCATGAGGAATTCATATTTTTAAATCTACACAAGAAAAAGTTAATAGGAACTACTAAGAAAATGCACCCATTTTACCTCACTTATGTACAAGTTAATAAAATGAGCTCATCTATAATCACTACTTAATTTAACATAAAATAACAAATTTTACATAATTTTTAGTTAAAGAATTTTCAGAATAGTTACTGATTACTTTTGCCCATGAGGAATTCATATTTTTAAATCTACACAAGAAAAAGTTAATAGGAACTACTAAGAAAATGCACCCATTTTACCTCACTTATGTACAAGTTAATAAAATGAGCTCATCTATAATCACTACTTAATTTAACATAAAATAACAAATTTTACATAATTTTTAGTTAAAGATAATAAATTATAGTCCTTTCACTGTATGTTTAAGGTTGGGAGAAAGATAAGATGAC